CTCTTAGATCAATTTGACTGTATTTTTCAGTTGTTTTTTTTGTTGATGCATAGTGACATTAGTGGACTACTAGCTATTTGTACTCAGTCTTTATACCAGTGATATTTTAGTGGCCATAAAAAGTGCAATATGATATATTGATAGAATTTGTCAAAAGTGATATAGGTGCATATGTTGTTGTATATGTGTGTATCACTCAGATATGATCATAAGAGCTTAGTATAAGAGGCGGCACACCTCCATGGTTAGATTAAGACAGTAGTAAGTTGGTTGTACTGTAATCTGTTCCACTTCGTTTCTTCTTGGTAATTTTAATGACTGATGTTGATTTCCCTCTCGGTGCCCAGTGATAAATTTGTATGTCTCCAAATTTAAATTTGGCCCCCGGATGTTGTGTATCTGTATCTACTGGGTCATCGAGAGGGCAATCCGGAATGTATATCATGGTAGAGTCAAATGTTACTTTGCATGTTATTCCGGAAAAGACCGGGTTTTGTGATTTAGTTTTACGTTTCAATAAAAAGATGGCACACTTTTGAAGTTGGCGTTCATTATAACTCATTTATGTAGATTGTAACGGAGTCAACGTTACAACAGTCTATAGAAATCAAACATTGTCAAAGTACATATGGAATTATACAAATTTATCAATAGCAGTTTAGGATCTACAGTTTGGAAGTTTGTATATATTAACTGAATAATGATTAAAAGTTTTGTAAGCATTGCTGCAGGGTACAAAAATTGCAGTCGTGTTTATTGTTGACCTTGTTATGATTTTTACAGAGATAAAGCCAGTGTTGATACAGAGGAGGACTTCCTGCCCAGCCCCATGGCCCGCTATCGTCAACTTCTCTTTGCCGCCCTCAAATTCTGTCTGGCCATGCTGACCTCATGGGCATAGAAAACCAGGACTGTGGCAATCAAGTGAATATCTTCTCCAGCTATATTTGTTTAATGCAGAGCCCCTTATGGACCCAAAGCAGTATTTAGATAGTTCCCTAGAAGTCTAGAAATCAAGTAGAATTAATCATGTTTTGACTTGTGGGTATCAGTGTTCATAAGCAATTGACATGTTCTTGTAGACATAATTTCATAGGTAAGATATAGATTAGAATCGAATAACTGATACATACATTTTAAAAAATAATGTCATGGGAATACTGAATTGTAAAATCCATGAACGTAAGACCCCAACTACATTGTTAACCAATCCATGCTGTTATAGGTGATGCATTTTATCTTATCTCACGGAGAAGTTTTCCACGGAGCCCAGTTTAAGTCTCCCAGCTCTACGTGAACTAGCTCTAACTACAGCGGTACTGACCCGAGCTAACTCCAGAGGTAAGTACTGTTATGTTTGTCGAAGCTGATTCTGTTCATTATGACATTTTAACTAGTAATATTGTTTTTCAAACATTTAGTTAAAAATGTTTAAACGATATATGTATCTTCATTTCTAATGTTCTACAAAACAGGCATTCCAGATGCAGAATTTGATGATCTTGACCCAGCTGGAATAGAAAGGTCAAAAGGTCAGGATTGAGAGACAAATGTTGGCACTGATGCCAAAGTACTGTATATCAGAGAGAGTCAAAAAACAACTCAAGTTACTGGAGTTTGACGAGTCGACTCAGGGAAAGGACTTAAGTTCGGAAATTCGCGGTGGTATTTTTAGAAGTGTCCTCCAATGTGACCTCCTATTGTCGAGCTGTCATCTCAACCTCAGGTAAAACAACAAATTTAAGGACGTATCTTGTCAGATTGTCAATTAAGTGTTGATAACCTGTAAGAGCTGCTAAAAAGTTTTGAATTTGTAAATCTTTCACTTTAAATTTATGTGTGTAAGGGGCCAAAAATTATGTTGTTACCTATATAAAGTGTCAGAAGCAGATAATACATTTATAAACATTGTTTAGTGTTGGGCATCAATAATGATATGGCAAACTTTATAAAATATTATGGACAAATAATAACTTTGTAAATTTACATATAAATCACTGTGTCAGGAGATAAATCATATCGAAAATAAATACTTAAAAACGAGAAAATTTGGGCGCATACGTATCTTAGCCCAAATACAAGTAGGAATGCATTGGCGCAAATAAATTTTTGCGCTTCCACTTGCCATTAAATCAGGGACCTGTAAATATATATAAATGTGATACTTTTTATCCAACCCGTATTTGTCTTTTTAGTTAGTCAATCACGGAAACACATTTCAATATAATCACTCTCGTAGTTAGGTAAACATTCGTCAACATTTCTGTTGTGTTGCAATCACATGGACGTGGCACAATGTTAAATTTTATTTTAAATAAAAGAAATAGAGTATTTACGCATTTTATTCATATCAAAACAATGAAGTTACTTTGATAAATGGTTATCATAATCAAGTATTGTCTGCAAGCTCAATCACCATGCTTGATTGCATTGTTTACCTCGGGGCGATAGATGCTTTACATGGCAAGAAGCCAAACTTTGAAGGTGCTGTAGTAAGTATCGGGTAACAACTAACAATAATTTTATTAAATTAAAATTTGGTTTAAATTTCTTGATCGAACCGACCATGTACAGTGCTTGTGTGTATATAAAATCCAACAGCCCTTCGATATTATGTGATCGCGCATTCCATTTACATGTACTTAATATGTGAAAGCTTTGAGGCAAAGGCACTAAAATTAGTTTTGCGCTAAATATTCTTGTTTTACAGTCACATTTATGGAATTGTTATCCTTATTCTTTCTCAGAAGCATTTACCATATTGTAAATGTTAAGTTATATCAGCATCAGGAAAACATATTGTAACTCTTTGTAATGTCAAATTTTTTTTTTCAATTTATAGGACAAACCTCACAGTTTTCTAGATTTCTGTTTCGGTCGAGTCTGGATGAAGCCCTTGCTAGAGACCTAGGAAGTACTGATGTTAAGTTATTGATAGCACTAGAGGTCAGAGGTCAATACCTGTTTGTTATATTGAATAATTTCCTTCTCTCTGATTGGCTGAGATCCAACAATGTTAGAAAAATAATACACTATATTGATCTGCACGTCAGCTTTCAGGTCAATATAAGAAATTATTGCAGGTCAATATAATAAATCATGTGACCCTCCAGGTCAATATAAGGAATTATTGCAGGTCAATATCAGGAATTATTGACATGTTCCATTTTTTCTGTAACAATGTGTTCTTGTTGAAATTTCTTGTTAAAACTTTCAATTAAAGCAAAGAAACAGTCTTGTAGGAGTTTGCTATCATTTAATCATGTGATAAGATAAATATTGCTATTTTTTGTGGTTAATACGATGATTTAGACACCTAAAGAGTACAATATTCACTGAGCCCAAATATTGTACTTCGAAGATGGCTAAATCATCGTATTGACCTAAAAAACAGCAATAATTGTATATTATTACATAAAAGGGTAGAGGTCTTTATTTTTAAACATTTCTTGTTTTAAATGTGCTTGTAACATATCTTGTTGCAGACACTTCATTCCTGAGTAGCAGTACAGTCCAGGCCCCCAGCCTAGAGATGGTGGTGTACCAACTCCCTCAGTGTGCCAACCACTTCATGTCTGTGAACGGGAGTCACAAACAACACCTCTGTAAACTACAGAGTATGGCTGATCTTAGTACAGACGACCTCAAACAGGTAAAGACACAAACAACATCTCCGTAAACTGCAGAGTCTGTCTGACCTTAGTACAGACGACCTCAAACAGGTAAAGACACAAACAACATCTCCGTAAACTATAGAGTCTGGCTGACCTTAGTACAGACGACCTCAAACAGGTAAAGACACAAACAACACCTCCGTAAACTACAGAGTCTGTCTGACCTTAGTACAGACGACCTCAAACAGGTAAAGACACAAACAACATCTCCTTAAACAGGTAAAGACACAAACAACATCTCCGTAATTACAGAGTCTGTCTGACCTTAGTACAGATGACCTCAAACAGGTAAAGACACAAACAACACCTCCGTTAACTACAGAGACTGATCTTAGTACAGACGACCTCAAACAGGTTAAGACACAAACAACATCTCCGTAAACGACAGTGTCTGGCTGATCTTAGTACAGACGACCTCAAACAGGTAAAGACACAAACAGCATCTCCGTAATTACAGAGTCTATCTGACCTTAGTACAGACGACCTCAAACAGGTAAAGACACAAACAGCATCTCTGTAAACTACAGAGTCTGTCTGACATTAGTACAGACGACCTCAAACAGGTAAAGACACAAACAACATCTCCGTAATTACAGAGTCTGACTGATCTTAGTACAGACGACCTCAAACAGGTAAAGACACAAACAAAACCTCCGTAAACTACAGAGTCTGTCTGACCTTAGTACAGACGACCTTAAAAGGTAAAGACACAAAACCTCCGTAAACTACAGAGTCTGTCTGACCTTAGTACAGACGACCTCAGACAGGTAAAGACACAAACAACACCTCTTTAAACTACAGAGTCTGACTGATCTTAGTACAGACGACCTCAAACAGGTAAAGACACAAACAACACCTCTGTAAACTACAGAGTCTGACTGATCTTAGTACAGACGACCTCAAACAGGTAAAGACACAAACAACACCTCCGTAATTACAGAGTCTATCTGACCTTAGTACAGACGACCTCAAACAGGTAAAGACACAAACAACATCTCCGTAATTACAGAGTCTATCTGACCTTAGTACAGACGACCTCAAACAGGTAAAGACACAAACAAAAACTCCGAAAACTACAGAGTCTGACTGATCTTAGTACAGACAACCTCAAACAGGTAAAGACACAAACAACACCTCCATAATTACAGAGTCTATCTGACCTTAGTACAGACGACCTCAAACAGGTAAAGACACAAACAACATCTCCGTAAACTGCAGAGTCTGTCTGACCTTAGTACAGACGACCTCAAACAGGTAAAGACACAAACAACATCTCCGTAAACTATAGAGTCTGGCTGACCTTAGTACAGACGACTTCAAACAGGTAAAGACACAAACAACACCTCCGTAAACTACAGAGTCTGTCTGACCTTAGTACAGACGACCTCAAACAGGTAAACACACAAACAACACCTCTGTAAACTACAGAGTCTGTCTGACCTTAGTACAGACGACCTCAAACAGGTAAAGACACAAACAACACCTCCGTAAACTACAGAGTCTGTCTGACCTTAGTACAGACGACCTCAAACAGGTAAAGACACAAACAACATCTCCGTAAAGAGGTAAAGACACAAACAACATCTCCGTAATTACAGAGTCTGTCTGACCTTTGTACAGATGACCTCAAACAGGTAAAGACACAAACAAAACCTCCGTTAACTACAGAGACTGATCTTAGTACAGACGACCTCAAACAGGTTAAGACACAAACAACATCTCCGTAAAGGACAGTGTCTGGCTGATCTTAGTACAGACGACCTCAAACAGGTAAAGACACAAACAGCATCTCCGTAATTACAGAGTCTATCTGACCTTAGTACAGACCTCAAACAGGTAAAGACGACCTCAAACAGGTAAAGACACAAACAACATCTCCGTAATTACAGAGTCTATCTGACCTTAGTACAGACGACCTCAAACAGGTAAAGACACAAACAAAACCTCCGTAAACGACAGAGTCTGACTGATCTTAGTACAGACAACCTCAAACAGGTAAAGACACAAACAACACCTCCATAATTACAGAGTCTATCTGACCTTAGTACAGACAACCTCAAACAGGTAAAGACACAAACAACATCTCCGTAATTACAGAGTCTATCTGACCTTAGTACAGACAACCTCAAACAGGTAAAGACACAAACAACACCTCCGTAATTACAGAGTTTATCTGACCTTAGCACAGACGACCTCAAGTAGGTAAAGACACAAACAACATCTCCGTAATTACAGAGTCTGACTGATCTTAGTACAGACGACCTCAAACAGGTAAAGACACAAACAAAACTTCCGTAAACTACAGAGTCTGGCTGACCTTAGTACAGACGACCTCAAACAGGTAAAGACACAAACAATATCTCCGTAAACTACAGAGTCTGTCTGACCTTAGTACAGACGACCTCAGACAGGTAAAGACACAAACAACACCTCTTTAAACTACAGAGTCTGCCTGACCTTAGTACAGACGACCTCAAACAGGTAAAGACACAAACAACACCTCAAACAGGTAAAGACACAAACAACACGTAATTACAGAGTCTATCTGACCTTAGTACAGATGACCTCAAACAGGTAAAGACACAAACAACACCTCCGTAAACTACGGAGTGTGGCAGACCTTAGTACAGACGACCTCAAACAGGTAAAGACACAAACAACACCTCAGTCTGTAAACTACAGAGTCTGACTGATCTTAGTACAGACGACTTCAAACAGGTAAAGACACAAACAACACCTCCGTAATTACAGAGTCTATCTGACCTTAGTACAGACGACCTCAAACAGGTAAAGACACAAACAACATCTCCGTAATTACAGAGTCTATCTGACCTTAGTACAGACGACCTCAAACAGGTAAAGACACAAACAACACCTCCGTAAACTACAGAGTCTGACTGATCTTAGTACAGACGACCTCAAACAGGTAAAGACACAAACAACAGTCTCCGTAAACTACAGGAGTCGTAATTGTCTATCTGACCTTAGTACAGACGACCTCAAACAGGTAAAGACACAAACAACACCTCAGGTAAAGACACAAACAACAACTCCGTAAACTACAGAGTCTGGCTGACCTTAGTACAGACGACCACAAACAGGTAAAGACACAAACAACACCTCCGTAAACTACAGAGTCTGTCTGACCTTAGTACAGACGACCTCAAACAGGTAAAGACACAAACAACATCTCCTTAGTACAGAACCTCAAACAGGTAAAGAGTTAACTACAGAGACTGATCTTAGTACAGACGACCTCAAACAGGTAAAGACACAAACAACATCTCCGTAAACGACAGAGTCTCTCTGACTTAGTACAGACGACCTTAGACACAAACAACATCTCCGTAAATTACATAGTCTACAGACGACCTCAAACAGGTAAAGACACAAACAACATCTCCGTAATTACAGAGTCTATCTGACCTTAGTACAGACGACCTCAAACAGGTAAAGACACAAACAGCATCTCTGTAAACTACAGAGTCTGTCTGACCTTAGTACAGACGACCTCAAACAGGTAAAGACACAAACAACATCTCCGTAATTACAGAGTCTGACTGATCTTAGTACAGACGACTTCAAACAGGTAAAGACACAAACAACACCTCTGTAAACTACAGAGTCTGGCTGACCTTAGTACAGACGACCTCAAACAGGTAAAGACACAAACAATATCTCCGTAAACTACAGAGTCTGTCTGACCTTAGTACAGACGACCTCAGACAGGTAAAGACACAAACAACACCTCCGTAAACTACAGAGTCTGTCTGACCTTAGTACAGACAACCTCAAACAGGTAAAGACACAAACAACACCTCCGTAATTACAGAGTCTGACTGATCTTAGTGCAGACGACCTCAAACAGGTAAAGACACAAACAACACCTCTGTAAACTACACAGTCTGGCTGATCTTAGTACAGACAACCTCAAACAGGTAAAGACACAAACAACACCTCCGTAATTACAGAGTCTGACTGATCTTAGTACAGACGACCTCAAACAGGTAAAGACACAAACAACATCTCCGTAATTACAGAGTCTATCTGACCTTAGTACAGATGTCCTCAAACAGGTAAAGACACAAACAACACCTCCGTAATTACAGAGTCTATCTGACCTTAGTACAGACGACCTCAAACAGGTAAAGACACAAACAACACCTCTGTAAACTACACAGTCTGACTGATCTTAGTACAGACAACCTCAAACAGGTAAAGACACAAAAAACACCTCGTAATTACGTAATTACAGACGACCTCAAACAGGTCTAGTCTGACCTTAGTACAGACGACCTCAAACAGGTAAAGACACAAACAACATCTCCGTAATTATAGAGTCTATCTGACCTTAGTACAGACGACCTCAAACAGGTAAAGACACAAACAAAACCTCCGTAAACTACATAGTCTGTCTGATCTTAGTACAGACGACCTCAAACAGGTAAAGACACAAACAACACCTCCATAATTACAGAGTCTATCTGACCTTAGTACAGACAACCTCAAACAGGTAAAGACACAAACAACATCTCCGTAATTACAGAGTCTATCTGACCTTAGTACAGACAACCTCAAACAGGTAAAGACACAAACAACACCTCCGTAATTACAGAGTTTATCTGACCTTAGTACAGACGACCTCAAACAGGTAAAGACACAAACAAAACCTCCGTAAACGACAGAGTCTGACTGATCTTAGTACAGACAACCTCAACCAGGTAAAGATACAAACAACACCTCCATAATTACAGAGTCTATCTGACCTTAGTACAGACGACCTCAAACAGGTAAAGACACAAACAACATCTCCGTAAACTGCAGAGTCTGTCTGACCTTAGTACAGACGACCTCAAACAGGTAAAGACACAAACCTCCTAAACTATAGAGTCTGGCTGACCTTAGTACAGACGACCTCAAACAGGTAAAGACACCAACAACACCTCCGTAAACTACAGAGTCTGTCTGACCTTAGTACAGACGACCTCAAACAGGTAAAGACACAAACAACATCTCCGTAAACAGGTAAAGACACAAACAACATCTCCGTAATTACAGAGTCTGTCTGACCTTAGTAAAGATGACCTCAAACAGGTAAAGACACAAACAACACCTCCGTTAACTACAGAGACTGATCTTAGTACAGACGACCTCAAACAGGTTAAGACACAAACAACATCTCCGTAAACGACAGTGTCTGGCTGATCTTAGTACAGACGACCTCAAACAGGTAAAGACACAAACAGCATCTCCGTAATTACAGAGTATATCTGACCTTAGTACAGACGACCTCAAACAGGTAAAGACACAAACAGCATCTCTGTAAACTACAGAATCTGTCTGACCTTAGTACAGACGACCTCAAACAGGTAAAGACACAAACAACATCTCCGTAATTACAGAGTCTGACTGATCTTAGTACAGACGACCTCAAACAGGTAAAGACACAAACAAAACCTCCGTAATTACAGAGTCTGACTGATCTTAGTACAGACGACCTTAAAAGGTAAAGACACAAACAAAACCTCCGTAAACTACATAGTCTGTCTGACCTTAGTACAGACGACCTCAAACAGGTAAAGACACAAACAACACCTCCGTAAACTACAGAGTCTGTCTGACCTTAGTACAGACAACCTCAAACAGGTAAAGACACAAACAACACCTCCGTAATTACAGAGTCTGACTGATCTTAGTACAGACGACCTCAAACAGGTAAAGACACAAACAACACCTCCGAAAACTACAGAGTCTGTCTGACCTTAGTACAGACAACCTCAAACAGGTAAAGACACAAACAACATCTCCGTAATTACAGAGTCTGACTGATCTTAGTACAGACGACCTCAAACAGATAAAGACACAAACAACACCTCCGTAATTACAGAGTCTATCTGACCTTAGTACAGTCGACCTCAAACAGGTAAAGACACAAACAACATCTCCGTAATTACAGAGTCTATCTGACCTTAGTACAGACGACCTCAAACAGGTAAAGACACAAACAACACCTCTGTAAACTACACAGTCTGACTGATCTTAGTACAGACAACCTCAAACAGGTAAAGACACAAACAACACCTCCGTAATTACAGAGTCTATCTGACCTTAGTACAGACGACCTCAAACAGGTAAAGACACAAACAACATCTCCGTAATTACAGAGTCTATCTGACCTTAGTACAGACGACCTCAAACAGGTAAAGACACAAACAAAACCTCCGTAAACGACAGAGTCTGACTGATCTTAGTACAGACAACCTCAAACAGGTAAAGACACAAACAACACCTCCATAATTACAGAGTCTATCTGACCTTAGTACAGACAACCTCAAACAGGTAAAGACACAAACAACATCTCCGTAATTACAGAGTCTATCTGACCTTAGTACAGACAACCTCAAACAGGTAAAGACACAAACAACACCTCCGTAATTACAGAGTTTATCTGACCTTAGTACAGACGACCTCAAACAGGTAAAGACACAAACAACATCTCCGTAATTACAGAGTCTATCTGACCTTAGTACAGACGACCTCAAACAGGTAAAGACACAAACAACATCTCCGTAAAGTACAGAGTCTATCTGACCTTAGTACAGACGACCTCAAACAGGTAAAGACACAAACAACACCTCCGTTAACTACAGAGACTGATCTTAGTACAGACGACCTCAAACAGGTAAAGACACAAACAACATCTCTGTAATTATAGAGTCTGTCTGACCTTAGTACAGACGACCTCAAACAGGTAAAGACACAAACAACATCTCCGTAAACTACAGAGTCTGTCTGACCTTAGTACAGACGACCTCAAACAGGTAAAGACACAAATAACACCTCCGTTAACTACAGAGTCTGGCTGATCTTAGTACAGACGACCTCAAACAGGTAAAGACACAAACAACATCTCCGTTAACTACAGAGACTGATCTTAGTACAGACGACCTCAAACAGGTAAAGACACAATTAAACAACATCTCCGTAAACGACAGTGTCTGGCAGATCTTAGTACAGACGACCTCAAACAGGTAAAGACACAAACAGCATCTCCGTAATTACAGAGTCTATCTGACCTTAGTACAGACGACCTCAAACAGGTGAAGACACAAACAGTATCTCTGTAATCTACAGAGTCTGTCTAACCTTAGTACAGTCGACCTCAAACAGGTAAAGACACAAACAACATCTCCATAATTACAGAGTCTGACTGATCTTTGTACAGACGACCTCAAACAGGTAAAGACACAAACAAAACCTCTGTAAACTACAGAGTCTGTCTGACCTTAGTACAGACGACCTTAAAAGGTAAAGACACAAACAAAACCTCCGTAAACTTCATAGTCTGTCTGACCTTAATACAGACGACCTCAAACAGGTAAAGACACAAACAACACCTCCGTAAACTACAGAGTCTGTCTGACCTTAGTACAGACAACCTCAAACAGGTAAAGACACAAACAAAACCTCCGTAATTACAGAGTCTGACTGATCTTAGTACAGACGACCTCAAACAGGTAAAGACACAAACAACACCTCCGAAAACTACAGAGTCTGTCTGACCTTAGTACAGACAACCTCAAACAGGTAAAGACACAAACAACACCTCTGTAAACTACAGAGTCTGACTGATCTTAGTACAGACAACCTCAAACAGGTAAAGACACAAACAACACCTTCGTAATTACAAAGTCTATCTGACCTTAGTACAGACGACCTCAAACAGGTAAAGACACAAACAACATCTCCGTAATTACAAAGTCTATCTGACCTTAGTACAGACGACCTCAAACAGGTAAAGACACAAACAAAACCTCCGTAAACGACAGAGTCTGACTGATCTTAGTACAGACAACCTCAAACAGGTAAAGACACAAACAACACCTCCATAATTACAGAGTCTATCTGACCTTAGTACAGACAACCTCAAACAGGTAAAGACACAAACAACATCTCCGTAATTACAGAGTCTATCTGACCTTAATACAGACAACCTCAAACAGGTAAAGACACAAACAACACCTCCGTAATTACAGAGTTTATCTGACCTTAGTACAGACGACCTCAAACAGGTAAAGACACAAACAACATCTCCGTAATTACAGAGTCTATCTGACCTTAGTACAGACGACCTCAAACAGGTAAAGACACAAACAACATCTCCGTAAAGTACAGAGTCTATCTGACCTTAGTACAGACGACCTCAAACAGGTAAAGACACAAACAACATCTCCGTAAACTACAGAGTCTGACTGATCTTGGTACAGACGACCTCAAACATGTGAGACACAAACAACACCTCCGTTAACTACAGAGACTGATCTTAGTACAGACGACCTCAAACAGGTAAAGACACAAACAACATCTCCGTAATTATAGAGTCTGTCTGACCTTAGTACAGACGACCTCAAACAGGTAAAGACACAAACAACATCCCCGTAAACTACAGAGTCTGTCTGACCTTAGTACAGACGACCTCAAGCAGGTAAAGACACAAATAACACCTCCGTTAACTACAGAGTCTGGCTGATCTTAGTACAGACGACCTCAAACAGGTAAAGACACAAACAACATCTCCGTAAACTACAGAGTCTGACTGATCTTAGTACAGACGACCTCAAACAGGTAAAGACACTAACAACATCTCCGTAAACTACAGAGTCTGGCTGATCTTAGTACAGACGACCTCAAACAGGAAAAGACACAAACAACATCTCCGTAAACTACAGAGTCTGGCTGACCTTAGTACAGACGACCTCAAACAGGTAAAGACACTTACAACATCTCCGTAAACTACAGAGTCTGGCTGACCTTAGTACAGACGACCTCAAACAGGTAAAGACACTAACAACACCTCCGTTAACTACAGAGTCTGACTGATCTTAGTACAGACGACCTCAAACAGGTAAAGACACTAACAACACCTCCGTAAACTACAGAGACTGGCTGATCTTAATACAGACGACCTCAAACAGGTACAGAGAAAATAATAAAATTGAAGCATAACGTACTACAAAAGATATGAAATCGGAGAAAGTGGTAATTTTTAGTCATTTAGATTATATGCCTTTTATGTATATTAATGTTTATATATGATGTATTTATCAGTTTTTTGGAGTAGAAGAGAAGCTTACATCACATCAGAGACAGAAACTCGCTAAAACTCACCTCATCATAATTGTGCACTACAAAGAGGAACAACTGCAGTACTTTGCTTGTATCCTTTATGAATGAAGCAGAATATTAGGATTTGGGCAATGTTAAAAAAGAATTCTTGAAGTTGAAGCATTAGCTTTTTTTAAAAAAAAGAGTTTGGCAATTTCTGTACATTTTCGAACATGAGGACAGGTAGGAACATTCCAAAGCTAGACCAAGCATAAATCGTAGTAATCGCCCTTGACTGTGCTACAGACATCTTGTAGAATTGTCTGTTTATGTTGTGGCACTACCTGGAGTATTATCTCATTCACTGCATTCCTGTCAATCAGCAGACACCTTTAGTTATTCTCTTTAGAGAAGTGGACAGGCTTTCGCCTACATCCACGAAATCCTGTCCACTTCTCTAAAGAAAATACATTTTTTATCTCAGTGTGTAATGTACTTCTAGTTATTGATTTCTGATTAGTTAATCTTTAATTTTTAACAGATTTGTCAGGAAGTTCCCACTCATTATTTAACGAATCTGATGCAGACTCTTTACCAGACGTAGACAGACAGCTTATGATGGGGGTGACTAGTGAAGATATCGAGACACTGAAACAGACAGCAAACTCTGCCATACACGACTCACTCCTCAAACAGATACAAAAGATTGACCAGGTAGTGAAAGGAAAGATTATGATTCCAAATATAGGGAGAAGCCATGAGAAAAAATGTACAAAAATGAAAGAAAAGAATTAGTCCATACCTCTCCCACAGTCAACATTTAAAAAAAAATTTGTTCCCCCAACCCCCCTTACAGCACAACCACCACCGTACTTCACCTTTCACCCACAGCCAAGTGTTACAGCCAAACCTTTCCCCCAGCCAATCTTAAGATATAGTTCAGATACCCTCTTCCCGATCTCCACCTTAATGATGGTTCATCTATCCTTCCATGGTCCACATTTAACTCTCTCCAACAGCAATAATTTAAAAGTGTTTCGTCCATCCCTTTCCTCCAGCCTGCCTTAAAATTGGTTCAATGTTTTGTGAGATTAAACGATTAATGGAAATTCGCTTATCATATTATGGAACATTGGAATTAGCATATTTTATTCCATAATAGGGTACAACTTGATGCAGATGGCATTATATAACACTGAATACTTGAAAATGAGAAATACAATGTACTTTTATTGAGCTATGCTTAATTTATCACCTAACTATGAAAAATGTCTATGGATTTATGTATAAACCATTGTTTGTTTTTTAGTTTAGGAATACTGTAAGTTCAGGACCCACTACAGTTTTGTGGAGGCCCTCATAAGGAGAGTAAGAAGACTTATTGAAGCTCAACACGGGGAGCTAATAAGTTATTAAAACAGACAGTGGTGGCTCCCTATAGTGAAACGATTGATGATGTCTATAAAATTTGAAATGACTTTTTAATTCCAAGTTCTTCTGACAGTGGGCTTACTTGGCTGATATCCCATGGAACTTGACGCGTTAATAGCAGCTGAAATCATTTTTGACCATGTATTTCAAGATGTTTGTGAATTAAAATGAAAACATCTACAATAAAAAGTTTCTGAATCAGATTTCTCGTGTTTGTTTTGGGTTACATACACAGTCAAACCCTGTTATTTTGTGTCCAATGTGTTCAAGAAAAAATTCTAATAAAGTGTTTAATTAATTTATTTTGGTTAATTAATGTCCTTAAATAAGTTACATATAACTAGATTAAAAGAATATAGATTTATTGAAGATCTAAGGGTATATCACTCTAACTGCATCAAAAGTCCAGTATAATCAGAACTCCACAGTGTGCAGTGCATGATAGAGGGTCAAATTGATTAAAATGTACATAATATTTTTTCTTTCTTCCTGCTCACAAATATACTGCGGTTTCATTAATATTCGTTGAGCACCAATTTTTGAGGAATTTGTTGTTGAGCAGATCCACGAAATTCAATGTTCATTCAATTGAGAAATAAAATATTTATTTGCATAGGCAATGGTTTAGTCCACAAAATTGTGTATCCTTGAAAACGTCTGTTTTTACAAAATCCATGATGGCAACAAAAATTAAAGAAACCGCAGTAAAGAGTATTTTTCATGAGATATTGAATTAGTTTCTTCTAATGTTCGGTCTTTATTGAGCAGTCATTTCAACCTTGGGTAGAATTATGATAAAATTGTTTATAAATTACAATTTATATTTTATACCTTATTGATAATATTATTATTTAAATTATTTTATACAAACATATGAACACGAGAAAGTGAACCTGAATCAAACTACATGTATATATTCTTGTGATTTTGGTGACATTTGAAAAAGTTTTTCTCACAAATAAGTCATAATTTAAAACACATTGTTTACATGTATTTGATTTTCTTCACTTTACCACTGTAAAACTCAGCCACAAAGAGGTTGTCTCTGGTGTCTACACATAACCCCCATGGACGCTGTAGGTTACAGTTATCAATGTAACGGAGGAACTGTCCATCCTGATCTAGGATGTGGATACAGTGGTTGTTAAAGTCTGCTGTCAGGATCTGACTCTGGCTGTCTGTTGTGATGCCACGTGGATCAAATGATCGCTTGGTAGTAGAGGGATGACCAGTGTATTCAAATTGGAGTTTTCCTGCCTGATTAACCACCACTACTGCACGGGCTCCATAGTCAGCTACACAGATATCCAGGTTCCTGTTTTCACTGATGTATTTAAAGTTACCAGATGAATACAGAGGTTTACCTTCACTATCAAACTGAATGGTTTGTTTCTCTGTGGAGCCAGAGTAACGGACAACTTTTGAATGTCTATAATCATTACTGTCCATGGTAACCAGGAGGTCACCAGAGGAAGTACTACAGACATTGAAAGGTTTCCACCGCTGTAGTCTGAACACTTCCTGTATCTGTTCATTTTTCACTATGTTTACAGTTCTTGTACCAATGTCTGTATAAACTAAATTTCCACTCTTTGTCACTGCTATGTCACATGGTATGTTCCAAGACTTGGTTTGGATTGATTTCAGTAGTTTGCCCTGGAGGTTGTAGAGTTTCATGATTTTATCATAACCACTTGTCCAGATTTCTTCATCACTAAGACAGGTAGCACTCCTTAATGAGTCTTTATACCCAGTGTCTATGGTGGTAATGAGCTCTGGTTCATCAAGCAGTGGTTTGACTGGAGGACAGGATACATCTTCAGGTGTCTTCAATGTGTAGCCATGTTCTTCTGTTGTAATGGACAATGCTGACAGAAAACCAAACATTTGATGGAGCTGTTCTGTGTTGATCTGATGAGGAGAAAAACTTGGTAAAGAAACGTTGACTTTAGGAGGTAAACTTCTGAATTCAGCATTCCTTGAATTGTATGCAGAGGTTAGGGAGACATCATTGGAGTCCAATAATTTCTTTATATAAACTATCCACTGTTTTACATCAGATATAATCTGTATAATTTCTTTTTCCTGTTTATTTAGAGCAGCCAAGTGTTTAGTTTTTATATCATCGATTTTAAATTTCTGTTTGTTGACAACAATGTTAATTTCTCTGTGCCAGTCTTCTCCTTGTTTGGTGACAGCTGATGTCAGTTTCTCATATAGTTTTTCCAAGTTGACTTTTTCAGAGTTTAAATCTGATGCTATTTCTTCATAAGTAGGATAGATTCTTTTTTCCAGTTCTTTGAAATCCTTGTTTAAAATTTCCTTCATGAATCTGGGTATCTGTAAGATATCTGCTAATTCATGTCCATGGTGTTTTTTTGAGGAGAGACAGGTAGAACAGACAGAAATGTCACATTTCTCACAGTAAAGTTCACAATGTTTCTGTGTGTGGTTTGAACATTTTGGGTGGTGAACGTTAGGAGTAGATCTTCTGTGTTTGTATGGTACAATATTGTGTCTTATGGATGAATCAGAGAGATGCTCCCCTACACATGCCTTACACAGGTTAATCTGACAAAGTTCACAATGACTCTGTAATGCAGCTTTTTGACACAGGTCACAGAGGAGGAGTACTTGAGCTCTGTCCAGGGGGTCCATCACTGGGGGTTTGTCAAATGGTTAGATGACCCTGAATGAAGTAAATCGAGACTTGAGTCACTGACTTAAGAAATTTTACGTAATTTCGAAAAAAAATCAATATAAAGTTTTGTTTTATTTGTGAAATTGTAGGACAAAGCTGGTTCAAAAGAAAAGGAATGATCATTTTGTAGTTTAAAAATATTGTGTAAATTTTTTTTATGTTTGAAAAATATTATTATTTGGGAGAAGATGTTAATACTTATTTGTAATATTTACAACAGTCAAAACAATTTTGATGAAGCCAGTATGATCGATCTAAAGTGGCTCTCTCGTGCTTTTAAGTTACATTTATATCTAATGCATATTACTAGACTTGAAATCAGAAATGACACCTGGAAAGATCTTATAACATATTAAATCTTAAATTTTATCTTGTCTCACCTCAAAATCCAACATGTCCTCTCTTATAGTCCCGTACACTACATTATACTTCCTTGTCTTCATTCTAAATATTTACCTGTTCTCCATATTACATGATTTAAATACCTGAGATCTGGTCCGCCTGTGTTGAGAAGTTTAAAAAAGATTAAATATTAGAATCATCCTATCTATCTCCAGTTGTGAATACATCTATTTTTTTATCTGATGGAAATCTTTAATTTTTTTTCTTTAAAAGTTTATTATTTTTGGAACTAATGTACCTGATATTTGTAAGTTTTAACGACGGGTGACTTCGTACATGTAAGGATAAGCGAAAATTGCTACAAAATAGACCCTAACTAGCAAATTCAAAGAATTGGGGTCCCCCGCTTTTGGTGTCTTTGTGGGTGAGATGTTATTTTTTATAACATATCGTGTGTAATATGAACATCTTATCATATGTCATTTATTTAGAAAGTAACATTGAAGTTGATTTTTTTTGAAGGATGAAAACCCTAATCCTGACCCTTAAAAAGTCATGGAAAAGTAAAAAAAAATCTTAAAGTAGGTCTCCAAGGTCAAGATCAAATGGTCAAAGTTTTTGATATCCAATGAAAGGTTTTTTCACAAAAATAACATATGTGAAGTATGAAAGCCCTAGCCCTTACTGTTCAAAAGTTATGGTCAAGATTAAAGTTTTTTCATAAGTACGTAAATCTTTAAGGTCAAGTTCAAAAGGTCAAAGTTGTTGATATCCAATTAAAGGACTTGCCACAAAGAATACATATGTGAAATATAAAAATCCTAGTATCTACCGTTCAAAACTTGTGACCAAAGTTAAAGTTTTTTAAAAAGTTGTTAAAAACTCCAATGTCAAAGTCAAAGGGTAAAAGTTGTTGGTATCCAATCAAAGATCTTCACAGAATAATTACATTTGTGAAGTACGAAAGCCCTAGCCCTCACCGTTCAAAAGTTATGGTCAAGGTTAAAGTTTTTTCATAAGTACGTAAATCTCCAAGGTCAAGGTCAAAAGGTCAAGGTTGTTGGTATCCAATGAAATGGCTTGCCACAAGGAATACATATGTGAAAAATATAAAAGTCCTAGTATCCACTGTTTAAAAGTAGTGACCAAGGTTAAAGTTTTTAAAAAGAAGTTAAAACTCCAAGGTCAAAGGGTAAAAATTGTTGGTAAATCAAAGGTCTTCTCACAATGATTACATATGTGAAGTACGAAAGCCTTAGTCCTCACTGTTCAAAAGTTATGGTCAAGGTTAAAGTTTCTTTCGTAAGTTCGTAAATCTCCTAGGTCAAGGTTGTTGTTATCCAATGAAAGGTTTTGCCACGAACAATAAATATGTGAAATATGAAAGTCCTAGTACCTACTATTCAAAAGTTATGCCCAAAGTAAAAGTTTGGATTTTTTGTGTAAAAATATGTCAAACTCCAAGGTCAAGGTCAAAAGGTCAAATTTGGTGGTACCCAAAGAAAGGTCTTGTCACAAGAAATACACATGTGAAATATGAAAGTCATAGCTCCACTAAATCAAAAGTTATGGGCAAGGTTAAAGTTTTTGTGACGGACAGACTGACAGACTGATCGACTGACAGACTGACGGACAGACAGACAGACAGACAAATGAGATTTAATTTCCCCTCGCTTTTGCGAAAGCGGGGGACAAAAACAGACATTTTTCTTTTAATTGCAAAAATAGTCAACATCTGGAATACATAAATTTAAAGTACATGTATGTACATGTACAAAGTACGAATATGTTTTCAACATAATATTTTTTTAAATCTCCGCAAGATAATGAGGGCGCCCACTGTTTTGAAAATATACGACAAGGAATGCATTTAATTTAGATTTTAAAAGGAAAATTACTTTCACTGTATGAATTATTTTATCACTAAATTAATTTTTTCCAGGTCCTTAAACAGCCCTTTAATTGCGAGTCCTTTTCTGACCTTGTCAAAGGTTAGTGGGAGGGGGGGGGGTCCCCTTCTCATCTTTTTTTAAAAGTTAGACATAATACATGTATAGGCATTGAAAATTGGGGCATAGCCCCCCTCCCCATCTTCACTTTCAACAGGCACCTTTCAGTATAATCAAAGAAGGGTAAGTGGCAGTGTTTCCAAGGGAAAAAATGTTAACTCCCCCAACCAACCCCCACGAAATAGGATTTCCAGGTTTGTACAATGATCATTTTTAGCTCTACTGGTCATAGATCAGAAGAGCTTATGCGATTGTAATGCGTCCGTCAGCCTTCCGTCTAGCTGTCTGTCTGTTAACAATTTTTCAAAATGCTACTCCTCATACAATTTTGCATAGGCGCTCCCCATGTAATTCTGTAAATGACGTATGATAAGTATATATATATATATATATAGGTCTACATCTCTATACTATAAAAGTATAGTGGGGTAGACCTATATATAATTATCATACGTCATTTACAGAATTACATGGGGAGCGCCTATGCAATTTTGTTCTGATTTCAGTATAACTTGGCACACAAGTAGACTATACTAGGATACATAATTCTATGCATGGGTTTTTGCTTTCGATGAACGGTGTTGCCGTGGTTACTAAAAATAGAATTAAATTACTGTGAAATTCTTTCAAAATGTAAATACAGTTTTGGTCCGATTTCAATATAACTTGGCACACAAGTAGACTATTCTAAGATACATAATTCTGTGCATCGGTTTTTGATTTCGATGAACGGTATTGCCATGGTTACTAAAAAATGAAATTTCTGTGAAATTCTTTCAAATGCTACTCCTCCTACAGTTTTTGTCCGATTTCAATACATGTATAACTTGGCACACAAGTAGACTACACTAAGATACATAATTCTGTGCATCGGTTTTGATTTCGATGAACATTGTTGCCATGGTTACTATAAAATGAAATTTCTGTGAAATTCTTTCAAAATGCTAGTCCTCCTACTGTTTTGTCCGATTTCAATATAACTTGGCACACAAGTAGACTACACTAAGATACATAACTCTGTGCATCGATTTTTGATTTCGATGAACGGTGTTGCCGTGGTTACTAAAAATGCTAAATTTACTCACATGTGCAATTTTTGTCATATGAATTGATTTACTCATATGCAAATTTCGCACAGTTGAGTAAATTTACACCTAGTCAGGACTAGGTGCAAATTAACTTTTGCATACACTTTGTAGCAAATTATTATTATTATTATTATTATTATTATTATTATTATTATTATTTTATTAATTTATAAAGCGCAAAATCACATTTAGTTTCTATGCGCTGTACAATGGTTTTTGCTAACATTTAATAACAATATATCAATAAAACCTATAAATTTGATATTGAAAGTAAATAATCAATAAAACAAAGAAGGACCTCATATAAAACATGGTAGTAAGATGAAATTGGTTAACATAGACAGGCAAAATAAAATGAAAATAAAAACTGATATATACACAGGATAGTTATTCTGAATTTGAGTTTACGAGAGGTTACACATGGAGTCCTTGATGTTGTACTGGAATTTTACATATATTCCATTCATACGACATGATTTGCATACCTAAGTATATTTTACTCATATGTAAATTAATCACATGTGCAATTTCTGTCGTATGAACTCATTTGTTCTCATGTAAATTTTGCACAGTTGAGCAAATTTACACCTGGTGAGGACTAGGTGCAAATTAACTTTTTCATACATGTTGTAGCAAATTATTTGTTCTTGTGAGTAAATTTTGTCGTATGAACACGCAGCAAATTTACTTATGTACATGTATGTTTATTGCATAAATCTACATTTTAAGTGTTGTTTCGGTTGTTAATGCATTGTAAAGTGTATAATATCAGTCTATTTTTAAAAAGGGAAACAAGCTAGATCCAAATAACTACAGACCCATTTCTATTTTACCGACATTATCAAAAATTATAGAAAAACATGTGGCAAAATATGTACGATTACTTGTTTCAGACTTTGGTCTGTTAATAAAATCTCAATCAGGTTTCAGAGAATTGCACTCATGTCAAACAGCCCTTACAAAAATTACAGATAAATGGTTATATGAAATGGACCAAGGCAAACTTGTTGGTACTGTCTTTCTCGACTTCAGTAAGGCATTTGACTTAGTAAATCATGAAATTCTTCTAAAAAAGCTACAGTGCTATAATTTTAATGAAATAACTTTACATTGGTTTAGATCGTATTTAAGTGACAGACTTCAAAGTGTACATCTGTCTAACAAAGAATCATCTTATCAGCAAGTCACAGCGGGAGTTCCACAGGGGTCAATACTAGGACCTCTTTTGTTTTTACTGTACATTAATGATCTCCCACTTTATATCAAAAATTCAAACATAGATTTGTTTGCCGATGATGCCACTTTACATGTTTCAGGCAAAGATTCCCAATCTATTGTAAATTCATTATCAATGGATATTGTTTGTATAGAAAAATGGTGCACTCAAAATTAAATGATACTTAATGCCTCAAAAACTAAATGCATGTTAATAGGGACACATCAGAAGAGATCAAAATTCTTAGACCATGATTTTCCTTTATTTGTTTCGAACCCGAAATTAGACAGTGTAACACATGAAAAAATTCTTGGGGTATATTTAGATAATTCTTTACAATATAATGTACATATCGACCATGTGTGTAAAACTCTGTCACGTAAAATTTCAGCACTCCGTAGAATTAAAAAGTATCTTCCTCTCCAAACAAGCAAGTTGTTTTATAATGCATACATTATGCCTACAATTGATTACTGCCTAACAATTTGGGGAAATACGTCCAGATCAAATCTTGACAGAATTCATAAACTTCAAAAACGTGCTGCGAGGTATATTTTAGATGCTCCCCCTGATGCACCCTCTAGACCTCTTTTTGATGAACTTGATTGGCTTACTGTTTATGAACAGCTTACTGTAAATAAATATGTATTGTTATATAAATCCCTCTTTAATTACTGTCCTACTTATTTACATGAAATGTTTAAATTTCAAATTAATAGCCAATATACTCTTCGATCTGAATCAAATGTTGATTTGTGTGTACCAATTCATAAATGT